GAGCATTTACAAAAGATCACCTAAAAGTCCTCAGGTGATTCTTTACTTCTCTTTCCAGTGTTTATTATTGACATAATTGAGGAAGACTAATGCAATTTTCTTCTTTTCTCTTCCCTCCCGAAGAAAAGGAAAAAATTAAGAATGAGCCTGCTTATTTCATTAATAAAATATTTTGGAGGATTACGGTTTGGTGGTCTTTGGAGTAGATTTGGCGTAACTGCTTTTGTATCGAAACTCCTGGGATTGGGAAACATGTTGCATGTTTAGAGATCTCGAACACCGGTTCCCTCAGAAAATGCCATTCTGTTTTCTGTCTGAGGCATACAGGCAACCACTTCTTGCCTTTTTTCCCGATAAAGAGAGTAGGATTTTCGCTTCTTGCCTTTTCCCCTCTCTTGATTCACTAGTCTGATTTAACCTTCACGAATCACTTCACTATAGCGGTTTTTGAGATAAAGCTGGTAATTCTGTTGATCAAAGAATAGAACTTTGGGGATGAATCCCTTTCTTGACGGATTGCCTTTACTCGTGCACAACTTTGGTGTCTGCATGTAGAGGTTATCCTTCTCTCTATATGCTTCTTAGTGTTATAAGATGGCTCAACATTCAGGTAAGTCACTTTACCCGGGTGCGCACCTGGACTTGTGTCCAGGCTCTTGGGTTACATGTTGCATCGTATAAGAGAACTAGCACACTGTTCATTTGGAAAATGCAATGTGGCATTGCACAATCTGACCTACCTTATTATGATTAATTGTAGCTGTTTTTTTTTTTTTTGATTCGCCATTCTGCTGCTTTCAGCATCCTATATATTTGTCCAGGTAACTAGATCAATTGCCGCAACCCCTTCCCCCTTTTTTGGGTAGCTTATTTCCTCACCTTTTCCAGTAGATTTAAATTGCAATTGATGTCAGGTGAGGATTAGCACATTGACAGGAACAAAGAGAGGAGACTCAAAGGGGGATGTGGTGATTCAGGGAAAGTAGGGAGATTAGAAAGTTGAAGGCCTGTGTAGTGGTGGTGAGGGGGAGTACTGCGGATGCTCTTAGTTAAGGCGGCTTTTTCTCCCCCCCTCTAATACCCATTTTCTTTTCCCATTATATAACCTACTATTATCATGACTCTCGGTAGCTTTGGAAGCTGCACCTTGGTGCCAAATCCTATTGCTGTACATACGCAAAAAAATTACTTGATGGAATATAAACTATTCAGGGGGCCAAATCGCCAATGAACAAACGTCTATCATGGCCTGCAGTGGGTTACAGTTCATTCTTACATAGTACTCTTTTTGCCTGTTATCGTGTAATGGCATTTATATTTTTAAAGTTTTTTCTTTTGTCAGCCTACTGTGAGTCCCATCGATGAATATGGATCCCTTATATATGCTGGACGGTGGGGAGTCCATGGAGTTTCACTTCCAGGGAGGGTGACGTTTGCACCTGGAAATGTTGGATTTGCAACTTTTGGTGCACCTCGACCTATGGAGGTAAGCATGATGGATGCTCTATTTATTGATCTTTATGATGAATACTCTATGTATTGATGTCATTTCATGCTTTTATGCAGACCCAGATAGTTAGTGATGAAACATGGAAGCTAATAGATGGCATATGGGATAAAAGGGTCGAGGAAATGAAAGCTGCTGTATCACTAGAAACTGAAGAAGATGAGGAGAAGCCAAAACTTCTGATGGCCAGCCATTTCCTATAGATCCAAGTATCCAATACAGGTTATGCCACTAGTCTCTGAACGGCATATATTGTGCAGCTATGGCTTTATTTTGTCTGCTTCAATTCCATGAGGATGTAACATCATCTCTGATTGCTTGAGTTTGAAGGTCAGATCGGGTTGACTGGTAAAGCTTGCATTATGCTTGGCCCCATTTTTTAAATAAATAAATGAGCATTATTGGACCTGAAAGTGTTAGGTGTAGAGCCTGACTTGTTCACTAAAAGCAAAGATCAAACTGAAGTAGGTGGGCTATTGCTTTATCATAAGCTAAGAGCGGACATCCCAACTCCTTTACATTTCTTAAACTTGATTATAGGATATTAAGTGCATGCCTACTGTTAACTTTTTTCTAAGAAAAAGTAAGGGGCATGCCTACTGTTAAACTTTAAATGCCCTAAAATATTATAGGGAGGACTCTACCCATGGATATCATGAAACTGTATACAATTCACAGAAGTAATGCAACATTTTATAAAACTAAGCTTTTTGCAACTCCCTTCTATTTTGCTTTGCTTCCCAAAAAGTGTCAGTTTCTTTCGCTTCTAGATATCCCAGTATGCAGCCGAAATTGACACGATGAGTTCTTAGATTTATTATCTAAATCCTCTTGTGGCCAAAATCCTCCAACTGGAAATTTTTTAAATGTGTCAAACAAGAACCACTTTTAAAGATGAGCCCGAGAAAAGCAACAAAACTGAAGAAAAAAAAAAAAAAGACAACAAAAAACCATCTTTGACTAGTGACCCAGTGAACTTAGGAATCCACATAAAGATGGTAAACTAAACCTTTGGCCTCACCGAGTTGTAAGCATGTGACTATTCCTCAACCTTCACCTTAGCAGGAGTGAGTAACTTGCCATTTATGGCTTAGTTCCTGGAGAGGCAATACAGAAACATACTCATCATTATTATAGCACAACCAAATTTGTTTGAGAAATATGTTACATCTGTCTGTCCAAAAAGTGCTTATGATACTTTCCTTTTGAGATGTCCCACAAGTTGTTCCCCTTCCTTTAGTACATTCTGAAATACCACAAAATGTTTTGGTGGACAGATTTTTCCTTCTTGTATAGTTCTGCTGCATGGAAAGTCAAAATATGAGAGACATGTTTTTCAACAAATAACTAAATATTTCTGTTTCTCTTAATAATTATGCTTAGTCAAAGTGCGGCAAGCAAATTGGATTGGATGGAGGTGGGGTATTAATCAGTGTTCCTCGTTCTGATTGACATAATTGGTTGTAGGCAGGCTGTTGTACTCTTCAATCATTGTTTGTTCTAGATATAAGGAGCCAAACACTCACATTACTCGGAGAAGCGTTTTGACATCAGTAGCATATTCAGGTTTTTTGAGATCAGAGCTAGACTCCGGCTGTGCTAGAGGATTGGATGGTGATAAATTGTATCGATGATGCTAGCCTTAAACATTAGCCACTTGTGAACTGCTTTGGGAAATGCCGAGCTGAAAATTAACATCCCCAGTAGTACAAGGAACAGGTGCTCAAGAGGGGCGAATAACCTATTCTAGATGATGGGTTACAACTTACAAGGTGCCCTTTTAGTCCAGTCAGTCGATCAACTCACCTGGGTCCCAAACAGGTTTTAGAAGGTGCCTATTAGTGAAGTTTTGTAAATTATTCCCCTACAGCAGCTCGAACCCCCTTCCCTATCCATTAAAGTCCCTTCCAGAATTTTGTAATATCTGGAGATTCAACTTCCTCTGTTTCAGGATATTGTTGCAGGGATTATAGTGATGATATCGTTGTCATAATTAATTTTTGGTAACTGACAGTTTTGCTGTATTCTGAACTCAAATTCTTTGGTATCTGTCATCAACTAGTACGATTAAATTCGATACTTACTATTGCCTGCTGGGCTGAAAAACTGTTAGAACTGTATTAGTTTCACACAGCAGACTTACATAAAATGGAACTAGTTACCTTCTTTTTTTTGGTAGAAAATTAGTGACTTTCAGTTCATCAAATTTGCTTAATTTTTTTTTTTCCATTTTCCCATCCATTTTAATCTCTTGGCATTCTTCCACCGAAATTAAACGTATTCGGAGCAAATAAGTGACTACAAAAAAATAAAAATAAATGCTATGAATATTTCATCAAGTGAAAAATAAAAGGGGTCTTAAGCTTGCACTCAATGACTCAACAATAGAGGTGACTTGGATAAAAGTACTAGTAATTCAATTGAATTCCCTTCAGCTGGAAAACTATAATGTTTAAACATTGTTTTTTTGGCTATTGATGAACACTCTTGATATTAGGAAAAAATCTAGTAAAGTTCTAATAAAAGAGTTAAAAATTTACTTTATGACAGTGGTTCTGATTATAAGTGTAACATTTCTAAATTCTCCCATATAAAATCCGCCACTTGCACCTTTAGCTAGATTTAATGTTGCAATTTGTTCACGATAGAATCAGAGTTTCGAGGAGCTGGACAGGTGCTTAGAGCGGAGAAGCTCGAGTTATTCAGCTACAAAATGAAGAATAGAATTCAATAGGAAAGTGTACTTGTATATTCAATATGTAATGATGCAATGTCTTATACAGAAATGAGAAAGAATCTTATCTTGCTCTAGCTCTAGCTCTAGCTCTAACTAACTCGACCAACTGATTCATTTTGTGTAACACAGTTCTTTCAATAACCATTTTAATTAAGTTGAACTATGTGTATCACGTTTAAGAGTATTTCCAAAATATAATATAAGATCAAATGAAACAATGTGAAGTTCATTTTTTCCACAATTAGCTAAGGAATTTGTACTGGATTGAAGATTTAAAATTTATGAGTTTTGAATTTGAAGTTTATGAATTGTGAAGTTGAATCAATGCAATCATCATTCATGTTTTTCAAAATTTGCAGAGCTTTTGAATGAAGAAGTAAAAGGTATATACGAATATTGATTTGTTTCATCGGAGTTTCAGATGAAAATGAAAAATGTTGGTGAATAGGTGATACAAGAAATGCCCAGCCAAATTGAATATTTCCTTGTCTTGTTGCTATTTTTCACACAATTTCTTCATCTTTGCTCCGCCATGGCCGGCCGTTCCATTTCCCGCCAGAAAAAATATTCAAGAATATCCCTTCAGAATATGCTCTAATTATTCCCCTCAATCACTCTTTTTGGGTGCTGAGACGAGCAATTTTCTAAACTCCAATCGTTTCAACAAATTTAAAAGGATTTCATTATCAAACAATCTTATTGGCACAAAATTTGATTATTTTACCTGCAGCTTCAAGTCCTTTATATATATGTGCTTGAGTTTCATCAATTGAGTGTACTTTTGAATTGCCCAAAAAAAGTAAACCCTAATTGGTGCTTGACAGCCCTTTTTTATATCTTTTGTTTTTTTAAGGGCTATTTTTGTGTGTTTGTTTTGTTGGGAAACTTGAATTGCAAGAAATGGCATCATCTGTGGGTAACAATAGTAGTCATACAGATGTTGATAGTCTCATAACGGGTCGTATTGTTATAGCTTTAGATGCAACCAGGGATCACCCTGAGCAGGAAATCAAGCGCATTATTGATGAGATCAGATCACAGGGTAACATCCTTCATGCGGGCGATACCATTATTGTGCTTGGGGTTTTGCATAAATATCTTCATCCTAGTGAGTGTCTTGCCTCACTTTTTGATGCAATTATCTCATTTTTCATTGTTACTTTTAGTGCTCGAGTTGGATGGCGATCCAACGTTTTAGTTATCTTTGAGTAAATTTTGTTACAGTAACTCTTATAGTTGTGACATCATTTCCTTATGTTGAAGAGGAAAATATTACTAATTGTAGCTACCTTTGAATCCATGATTAGAGGGTTGTATTTGACAATTTTTACATGATTAGTAAGGTTATAGTTTTCTATCCTCGTGGTTTCTCATAATTCTACAGATGATGATGATGAGTCCTCCGAATAATATGATCCAACTTTAGGCTCAACTCAAACTTTTGAAATCATTATATCAACGCGTTATAGCGGCTTTCAATTTTCACCATTCCCATTAACCAGATTAACTTTCTCTTTTGATAATTAATGGGTTAAAATTGAATGGTTTTAGTCATCAAGGATTGTTTTTTTCTATTACGACTAAGTTGTGATAAAAGGTCACTTTACTAAGGAGCCATATTTTGGTTCTTGACAGTTTATAACTTCAGTAGTGCTATATTTTGAGCGCTTCTGCTTTCCTGTGGTTGTTGAAGTGTGTACAAAGAATATGTAATTTCTACATATTATGCCCATTTATGGTAAATGTGGAACTGTGGTATTCCAGTATTAGCTGAACGGTTAGATGTGCGATTGACCACTGTCTTTAGCTGACTACTTATCTTGTGTAGTATTTATTATTCATGCCTACAGTATGGTTTTCTAACCCATTTTTGTGCACAGTGGGTTATCAAATGGAAGCAGAGCCACTGTCCATGTTTGGAACTCACAAACGTGAGATCGAAAAAGAAGTAACAAAGAAGATTGATGCATATGTGAACATGCTCATGCAAAGTGCCCAAGACTGTGAAGGTGAAGGGGTAATATATACACTTGATCCTCATAATAGTTCTGTACTGGAAGCAACTATTAATTGATATATCTTAGAAATGTGGCTAGAAGTATCCATAGAAGTCATACGTATGAAATCCTGGAAATTTTTATGACCCACTGGTGTAGCAAGTTTGCTTCGCTGGGGACTGGGGGCTTGTGGGTTGGATCTGATGTGCTTCAATACAGTATATTTGAGTTTGTTCAAATCAATATGATAGCATATTTAATAAAATGTAAAAAACAATCTGATGCAGGACAGATTTGCTTTTGAAAAAGTAATTTTCAAATGTTCACTATAGGAATAGACATTACAACTCCCTTTAGTATTCGAACTTGGTTTAGAAACTGTTTTTTTTTTTTTTTTGCATTACTTTAAAACATGTTTCAGATGTCCATAAGACACCATTGCATCCGTTACAACACAACTTGCGAAGGCAGAATCCCAAGAAATCCTATTTATACATGAAATAGAAAGTTTTGCTAGAAAACACTTTATTGCATTACTTTAAAACATGTTTCAGATGTCCATAAGACACCATTGCATCCGTTACAACACAACTTGCGAAGGCAGAATCCCAAGAAATCCTATTTATACATGAAATAGAAAGTTTTGCTAGATTATGGGCTAATACATTCCATGTTCGAGGAATATATATAATCTCGATTTCTTCAAAAGACTTCATCAATCGCCAGACATCCTCGCAAGTGGTCTCTATTTCCCAAGATGTTATCGCTTTCTTTTGCAACATTTGTATGACATTCTTTGCACCTGACAGTATGTGAACCTTTGACCAACCCTTTTGTAGTGCTCTTTCCACAGCTTCCCGATTGCTAGTGCAGCAGTTATGGCCTTCCCTACAAATTGAATAGGGGTACCAAAGGCATGAAACAAATGACCACAACTATCTATAGCCGCCATTCCGATGCTTGCTTTTTCCTTCTCCCTTTGTAGACCTGCATCTGTGAAAACAATAACCCCATCTTGGGCCAAAGTAATATCTGGTTATCATCTAGCAAAAAGCCTAGCTAATAGTACTGACCATAGAACTGAAAAACCTCAAGCCAGTAGTCAATCTTTCCCAAAATCTTTTTGGACTTTCTTATGGTCACTTAAAATAAAAAACAAATACAAACATTTCCTTAGAAAATGCATTCTTAATATCCTTCCTGTTAGTGCAAATATTTCTAAGAGATTGCATCAAAATTGTGATGTTTGTAGGGTCTGTGGCTTAGAAACTGAAACGGTTGATCATATGTTTTTCAGTTGCCCAAAAGCACAACTAGTATGGAAGTTGGCCCCCATTAACTGGCCTAAGGTAGAAAATGTTAGGAATTTTGCAATATGGTGGAATGACTTATTTTGTAATACATGTCAATATCCAGAATCCATTGAGCTACTAAGATTAAGTGTCTCTCTTTTATGGAAAATCTAGAAACTGCTTTTTAAATATTGTCTTATTTAATCAGGATGGGGGGGCTACGATAAATATATATTCTGGTTTCTTCTTGACAACTTCCTTTTTTATATTCTTAAATTGTATATGGGATCATGAACATCTTTCTATTTCTGCTACCATGCCTTCCTTTATTTCAGTTACTTTAATATATATCACAAGAGACTTCAAGGTTCATAAATCCTACAGGCTGAATCAGGGCTGGACTGTTATTTGTATCATGTTGACTCCACTTTATATGTTGATGAAGCAATGATTAACATTCCTTTTGCACTTTCATTTAATTCCCGTTTTCCTTATATATTTAACTGGCACTAGGTGGGCACTGTCTCCCTATATAATTGAGGTTTATATAGATTGTATTTTTATCCATCCAGGCGGAATATCTAGGAAGTCCAGTGTTTTTCTTGAATGGCCTTCTTACCTAAGAAGCATTTGCACGACCTAAGCTATGAAAATCATGCACTTTGTACCAACTAGTCGAGAGAGAGTAAGAGAGAGTAGTAGACTATATTCATCATGGAGGAAAGTGAAGGGTCTATCACCCGGATGGAGTGGCATTTTGATTGAATGCCCAAGCTATTCTTTTGCTTGTCTTTCTAGCTATCTCATCTCAATATGTTGCTTTCTAAAGCAATCATTTTATTTTTCATATATTTCTATCTCCCTTTTAATTTTTCTCTTACTACAAATTATTATACATTGTGCTTAGGTCGACATTGAAGTCAAAATTACTGCTGGGACTCCAGTTAGGAAGGTGGTTGTACAAGAGGTTACAACTATCAATACAACATGTGTTGTGTTAGATAGGTATGTTCTCTGATGTGATCATGGTAATTCCTGTTGCTGTAGTTTGCATATTGTCTCTATCTTTGGGATCTGAGTTATACTGAGACTTGAGGCAACAATAAATTAGTGACGAAATGCACTAGAAAACCATGGCTACATAAAAACCTCCTCTTTCTAATAGGCTTTTAAAACAAGATGAAGAAATAAACATGGCAAAGAGCAAATAGTTTCTGGTCTCAGTGTTGCTACCATCTTTTATCACAACATTGCAATGTGGTTGGTCCATAGAAAAGGAATCTATCCATGCATCGTGAGGCCATTTTATTATCCGAATAAGTAAATAAATATATCTTTTTCTATCCGCCAAAACGTAAAGTTGGAACCTTAATTATTATCATGCAAACAGAAAATCCTTGCTCAGATAAGATTTTTAACTCTTCCTTTATGAACTGATATTTTCATTGAAGGAACTATTTTAACTGCATTTTGTTCGATTGTTTGTTGAGTAGCTTTGATTTTGGTCCTCCACTAGTTAAGGGATATAGGGTATTTGCATGGACCCTTGTTTAGAGTTCTTTATTCTTCTATATTGCTTTCGTCACAAGATGCTCCCCCTTCGTTTACCCTGTCTGTCTACTTTTTTCTCATTACAAATGCATGGATAAGTCTCTACCTGTTAGTCATAATTATGATTTGTAAATAAAAAACAAACTCACCATCCATTATGTAAAATGGGAATTTTAATCTATACATACTATTGTGTTTAATGTTCACATAGATGATTAATATTGTGTGATTGCAATATATTTTGTTAACTATGGTGGTTGGAAAATCAAGCTTCTATTGGAAGATATTTTGCTTCTTTGTTGGAAGAAGAGAAAAGGGAAGTTATTAATTTAAATACTTTCTTATAGTTTGGTTTAATTGAAAGGGAAGGAACATGAGAGATACTTTTTAAGTCCATGAAACTAGTCCCTCAACTCACTGATGCGATCATAAACATTTTGATTTCATGAAGATAACAGCAAAATTAAGCTATTGTACTTTTAGAAACTACATCAAATCCATGATATGCATGCATGTACAATAAGGTCTTGCCGCAATTAATTAGAGCTTAGTTGACATACTTCTTCTCAGCATAAAGAGTATTTGTTTGTTCCATATTGGTGTTCAGGATGTCAATTTTTGCGCTTCTGAACTGTCTGATACAAACAGAAACACATAAATCTGAAGCTCTATAATTTTATCAAAGGTGGAACAATGTCTTGCAACATTTCTCTTATTTGACTCAAGAAAAACCATGTCTTTTGCACTTATTACCAGAAAGTTTGTACTTATCCTTGACAATTGAGTCTCTTGGATAAATCATCATTTCCTTCCAACTTTATATCCATGAAAAACCATGAGCATTTTGTAGTTGTTACAAGGAAGTCTCCATCTTATCAAGCCACTTGAATTAATTTTATATCATCATGTGCGTCCAACTTTATTTACCAATTTTATGTTTATCTGACTCTACATTTCTGATAAAACCCCATGTTTATTCGATTTGACATTTTATTATTCTCTAATATTGACAAGATTAAACCCTTACAGGCACCTCAGGCGGGATTTGACGTATTACCTTAAACACATACCCTGCAAAGTTGCATTAATTGGTGATAATTTATTCGTCAAGATTGTGAGACCTTATTCCATAGTTGATGCTGACAACATAGAGCATAAGTTATACTTTTCTATGTCCAAACAAGTACCCTTGGCACCCCCTCCAACTGCAGAGAACGCAGAGCAGTCTGTTGTTTCAATCAACTATTCAGGTTCTGTGGCAAGCTCCGAAATACCAGAGAATGAACTGGTGGTATATAATCAACTGGAGCATAGCACTTCACACGAAGATCTTAGTTTCAATTCTATGCAAGAAAGATCAGGTGAGGTAGCATGATGATAATCTTAAAAATAAATGCAGCTATTCCCTCCCTAGACCCCACTTGTGGGATTACACTAGGTATGTTATTTTTGTTGTTTTTTGTGTGATACTTTTAAGTTGCGGAAGTGTATTGTCATCCAACTTTGAGGGTTTGTTCTCCTTTTCTGGTTGGAATCCTATTCTACATAGCAAGGAGAGATCAGAAGAGCAATTATTGACAATATTTTCCCTTTCAGTTTTCATGATTTTAAGAAACTTCTGTTTTCTGAATGTATGTGGTCCTTTTGTAGATTGGATTCCTTCTCACCATAGGTGAGGAAGAAGTCAGCAGAGGACTCCTTAGAAATACCTTTCCTTACAGTTTCCATGATTCCAAAACAGACTTCGTCTGCTTTTGGTGTTCATAAAACTAGTTGAGTTATATAGATCTGTAATGATGTTACAATCTCTAGTTTTAAATTGTAAGGGATTTGATACAAAGTAGGGAATAGTTATCTGTCCTTCCTTCTTTAAATGTTTGATAATTTGAACAGATAGGTCTGCTAGAGGAGATATGAAGCATCCAATCCCTCCTGTTTTCCAGAAAGAACGAAGACCACCTACATCATGGAGATCCTCTAATACACCATTTCTTTGTATCGCTTGTGGAGCAAAGACAGAACTATACATCAAGGATTCAATGAGATTCAGTTTCTCAGAAATACAGCTGGCAACAGATGATTTTTCAAAGGATAACTTGCTTGGAGAAGGTGGATATGGTCATGTATACAAAGGTCGGTTAAAAGACGGTCAGGTCATTGCTGCAAAGGTGCGGAAGGAAGCAAGCACACAAGGATTTTCTGAGTTTCATTCTGAAGTTTATGTTTTGAGCTTTGCACGTCACAAAAACATTGTGATGCTTTTGGGTTATTGCTGCAAGGAAAATGTTAACATCTTGGTCTATGAATACATCTGCAATAATTCTCTTGAGTGGCACTTATTCGGTACGTATAATTATGATACTCAAACATTGCTCCAACAACCTAAAGCTCAAGATAAAAAGTTAATTTGGATTAATATCTTGACAGAGAATACCGAGAATATTCTTGAGTGGCACCGCAGATATGCCATTGCCATTGGCACTGCAAAGGGCTTGCGCTTTCTTCATGAAGAATGTCGTGGAGGTCCAATTATTCATCGTGACCTGAGGCCAAGCAATATACTTCTCACTCATGACTATGTTCCCATGGTAAATCTACACATTTTGATTCAAACACATAGACTGTTCCAATGGTTGGACTAACTAGAATGAACATATACTTTTGAGTTACCACATTTGCTCCCCCTCTCGCCCACCCCTCTGCTTCTGGTCCTCCAAGCTGGACAGTGACCTGAATAAAAACAATTGGGAAGCTAATGTTATGGATGACTCTGTTTGTTTTTGTTTCTCATAGCTAGGTGACTTTGGCCTGGCTAAGTGGAAGACAAATGACGATGATATATACACAAGGATACTTGGCACATTGGGGTGTGAGCAAGTCCTATTATTCATTGGCTACGCAGAATGTTCTACTGTCAATAGATGAAACCTTTTATCAGCTATTCACCAAAAGCTTCTCTTGCTTCATGCAGATATCTCGCTCCTGAATATGCTGAGAACGGCATTGTGTCTGTCAGAACAGATGCCTACGCATTTGGCATTGTTCTTATACAACTAATGTCCGGACGCAAAGCCATAGATGCAATGAGAGAGGACAGCCATCATTCCCTTAGACAATGGGTGTGTCTCTGGGCTTTTTTACTTGGAATCACAGCCAAATGTGATTCCTTTCAAAGATCTAGCTAGTTTAGTGAACTTTCTTATTTTAAAAAATTCAGTGCAATTTTAGCAGAAGTTTCTCTTTTGCATTTTCAGGCAATTCCCCTCATTGAAAGGCTTGCATTGCATGAGCTCATTGATCCTCGCATAGGCGACTCTTATGACACATTTGAAGTGTACCACATGGCTAGAACTGCATTCTTGTGTGTGCAGAATGACCCTGAGCTGCGGCCATCAATGGGAGAGGTAAATTTTGTTAATTTGATGATTAGCTGCTAACTTAATAGAAGAACACTGAATATCATCAGCCTACTAATCCATGTCGAAGATCTTTTTCTTTTCGTTTTGAAGCTTCATGTATACCAGTCCATCTTTATTATCTTCATAATTTTCTCATATGCAACATTATGTAAGCGTAAACAAATGATTCCTCAACTGAAATACAGTCAATGTTATAACTGTGAAGCAGTAGTATATAAACGCACTAGTGATATATTTTAACATCAGAAATCAGAAGTCAATCCACTTTGGAAGGATGGGGAGCTGGAATTTTCATCTTTATTGCTTCCTAGCAATTTTCATTCTGTTCTCTTCTTCTTGATAGTGTGCAGCCTAACATCCTACTGCTCATAAAGCATCAAGATGTAGATGGTTTCAAGCTATCATATCAATTTGGTGATAAACTGACCAAGAACTAATGTTCAGGCCATTTGCCATGGCCAGTAAAATCCTGCAACATAAAACAACTTAATTTTGGTAACGAAAAGTAACCTGATGTAACCACACAAATCTTGCTTACTGAGTATGGATAGCATATCTTCCTTGTCATTATACTCAAAGTGATGAACTAACCGGTTGCAAACATAAATGCAGGTCTTGCGTCTTCTTCATGGGGAGTTAGACCATCTCCACCAGATCGCGGAGCAGTTTGTACCTCAATTTGCTCCACATTTTAGTAAATAGAAACCTGATCAGCCATGTTATGTTTAGTTTGTTGCTGCAACTGTCTTGGTATGCTTTACATTTGTGTGCCCAGGGGAATTGGAAAGAGCTGTATAAGCTTTGTTTGGTATGATACTTTATAATACAAGTAATATTTTAAAACAGTTCAACTAGTATAAACTCCTATTTATCATGTTATATATACTTTATGATACACGTAATAAGGTTTTTTCCACGTAAATTTGGCATCTCTTGGATTTGATTATTTTTGTATTGTCATATTCATTTGTTGGTGTTTATAGTTGTTGTCTGCTCCTCTTTCTTTTTTTGCGTTTGTGTTTGAGGTATCCTCTTGGTTCGAATAGATTGGGGAAATTGACTGAAATATCATGTGTTGCATCTTTTATCGTGTAATTTATTTTTGTGTTCCCTAACAAGTACAAATATACCTTAATTACAAGCCATTTTGATAATTTTTCATCTTAAACACAGTCAAACTTGGCAAAAAAAAAAAAGTAGAAGAAAAAAGTTTATTGAAGCTTAATTATGTTATCCTCTTCCATTTATTACCTATTTTAACATCCCAAAAAACATGGATGTTGACTAGATTTTCCAATTTCCCCAAATCAACCCATCATCTAAATAAAATGCATTTAAGAGTTGGATAAGATTTTTTTATTATTATTATTATTTTATACATATTAGTGACTAAATAAAGTTGTGTTTTGTCAAATTGCATAAATGAATGTAAACTCATCACATAGTTACGACTTTGGTTCCTTTGGACATGATTTAATTTGATATCAGGTTGAGTTGAAGTTGAAATTTTATTTGGATATGTAATTTGAATTTATTAAGTTAGTGTTTTCTTTATATAAATATGAAATCTCTATAATTTGTGAAAAACTATTAGAACTTTCCAATTTTTTATACAATCTTACCAAATGATCAAATCACAATTCATAAATAAGGTATCCTAATATTCAATATCCTAAGTCTCCGAATTAATAAATCACATATATCCGTGTTCTTTTAATAAATAAATATTTGTGACTACATAGTAATATATTATTACAAATTTTTAAATATACTTATTTTTACAAAGATTCATTGATCCAATAAATCAATAGCAGTAACTAGTTATTCTTTGACAGAATTTCCCCACATGATTAATGGTAGAGACAATCTCTTCATAACAACATGAGTATTTCCTTATGAAAATTAATTTTATGGGTCTTTCTTATAAATATTAACTTATTGGTCAGGTTTTATATCAAAATAATTTGAAATTTCAAATATACTTTTAAGAAAATTTGAGATTTGAAATCATGATTTAAAGTTGAAGTCGAAATTTGTTGCAAATTTCCTAAACAAACATCGTTACACCGATTTGAAATTAGGCTCTCAAATTCTATGGTCAAACGCCTCCAATGAAAAAATTTCTATAAATTTTCATCACTTTATTTAAAGCTTTTATAGCATAATCCTTGAGTAAATGGACCTGAAATTGAATGCTGAGTTTCACTAGTTTGAAGATGATCATGTTTTCATGGAAAGAAGTTTGTGAAATGCTTTTTAGATTATGATATTTGATAGAATATTTTGGAGAACATTTTAGGCCTTTAAAAGAGCTTCCGCAATGCTTACTTCTCTGTTGAGATAAGAATAATTATATCACATATGTTTGTCAGATATGATATTACTATTTTTAGTTTTATAGCCAATTTACTAGAATTTTTTGTTTTCATATATAAGAAATCTGAAAATGTCATTTTTTTTCCGAATCAAATTGTAAGAGGAAAAACGTTCTTTTGTTTCTTCATTTCCAGCGAAGGAAGAAATTAGTTTTAGACACTTCAAATTATTTAAAACTATTGTTGTTGTTTGTTAAATATTATCATTACATCTAAAGCTATTGTCACACGTTGTTTGTATAACTAATTCTAATATAACTTACTCGTACCATATTATGTGTATTATTTAACGCATAAAATATATGATATTAAACTATGTATACGAGGAATATGCGTATAAAAATACTTAAGAAAAAGAAAGAAAAATCCCTTAAAAATAGACAACCTATATATGTGCTAAGGCACCTTAAAAGTGGCAGTTTGATTTAGACAAGCCTTCCAAAAATAAAAATGTGTTATTAGTTGAAATTTCAGTTTGAATTAATTATATTATGTCTATAAATTAAATATTACTTTTTATATATATTAAATTCTGAATATGATTCCTTCCTTTCTTAAAGAGTTATCATATCTAAAACATAGTCTAAGTTGCATAGAAAGAACTGAATGCTCTTTTTCTTTTTTTTTCTTAAAGTCAAATGAATCACAATTTTAGAATCAAGGGATATTTTCGTTCTTAATGGCTCTTTTGACTATAAATAATAATAAAAAAAAACAAAGGGCATTCAATATCCTAACCTGATGAATTCCTTCAGGTGAAAATTACAATACTTATATATAATTAAAATTATTTTTTTATATATATTGAATCTCTTTTAGTGAGAATTATAACTCAACCACTATTTATAACTAGCAAATATTGGATGAGTGTTATACGGTATTATATTGTTAAAGGAAATCAGATCGGATCACCCCATATAAAGGTTAACCCTATACATGTCTAGAAAAATTAATATGTATATAATTATGTAGTATATAAATTTGTATAATATTAATAAATAAAAGGGAAAAGTTTACATAACTATTAATATTCTTTATGAAAAATTGTATTCCTTTAAAATTATAAAATAGATTATCTTAATAAAAATTAGGACAATTTTCTTTTTTGAAAAAAAAAAAAAAACTTGCAGACGAATTCAATAATATTGTAAACTGTGTATATGATTAGATTCTTGAGTGTATACAAAATTAAGGTATCAGCTGCCAGCCTTCTAGACATATCAACTTTAATTTGGTCCTTCACTTTTATTTTTTATATGTTGTTTAACTCCCTAACTAAATGCTTCCAAAGTCAAGCTAGCTTCTTGTTTTTGGCAACTATGTATACTTAATCCGTTCATTTTTATTTATTCATTACACTTTAAAAAAGGATCTATTTTTATTTATTCAGTTTAGAAAAACATGTCCTTAATAAGATGATACAAACTTTCATACAAATATTGCATGGTTATAATTATCAACTCATGTTTGAGATGTTTGATTGAGTTATACATATAACGAGTGGAACCCTTATTTTATAAATATTCAAGAGATAATTTATCATTTAGTTCCTCGTTTATCCTTATTATTAATCATAATTATTTCTCAATACATTAAATTTATTATATCCAGTAATATAGTAAAACTGAAATTTTATTTATTACTTAAATATACTAAGTTAAACTAAATAAATAAAAATAAACGGAGAAAACAATAGCATTAGAGGTACTAAAAGCAAACAGCAAACAGCAAGACGCACAGAGTTCAGCAAATAACTCTGGACAATCAGAAGAAAATTCAAAAATAGATCCAGTACAAGAATATGTGCAAGAGAGTGGAGGAGTTCACACTGAAGCAGTGTTTGTGCATTCAAAAGATAACGAGGAACTGATTGGGGAATTGAATGATGAAACAAGAGATAAAGATGTGCCCAAAATAAAAACTTTTACAGCAAAGGAACTAAGTGATAAGCAAAATTCGGAGGAGGATGAAAGCATTGATATCAATGTAGAATATGTGAGTAAAAATGGGGATCTTTCACCAAGGCAGATTGATAATCTTAAAAGCAAAATGAAGAAGAATACAAAGCAGGTTCAATCTCAATCACAAATAAATACAAGGAGTAAGAAGGGGTCGTCTTTTACATCAGTTTAATGATAAATAAGATAATTTTCTGGAATATCAGGTCTGTTAGGACTCAAAAATCTTTTGAGCGACTAGTAGATCTGCATAAACAACATCAATATTCATACATTGCTTTATTAGAACCATTTCATAGCCCTAGTGAACTGGAAGCTTATAGGAGGAAGGTGGGTCTTCCTAATGCTAGAGTGAACTGTTCATCTAAAATTTGGGTCTTCTGGGAAGATGATTGGGTGGAGAAGGGTTCAACAGATTCTAATACAACAATTAACAATACAATTCCAACTAAGAGATAGGGATGACTGTTTCAGGGTAACGACTGTGTATGCAAGATGTAGTGCCCTGGAAAGACTAGAATTATGGGATGATTTGGAGCATATTGCTGCTCAACCTAGTAGCCCTTGGTTGGTGGGTGGTGATTTCAATACAATTGTAGATGAGTCAGAGAAGCTAGGTGGTTTACCGGTGACGCAACATGAAATGGCCGACTTTGCTGCTTGTATCAATGTTTGCGCTTTAAATGAGTTGAAATTTGTAGGTAGCTGTTACACTTGGTGGAATGGACGAATTGAAAATGAATGTATCTTCAAGCGACTGGATAGAGTATTGGGGAACAATGAATTTATGCAGTTACTACCTAATAGTGAGGTGCATCATCTAATTAGACAAGGTTCTGACCATGCTCCACTACATGTGATATGTGATGACTCTCAGGAACACGTGGTAAAACCATTTAGATTCCTAAACTTCTGGACGAAGCACAAAGATTTCATGAAGATAGTAGAGGAAAACTGGATTGAAGAAATAACAGGATCTCCGTTCTTTATAGTTCATTCCAAATTGAAAAGGACCAAAACGGCTTTATCAAAACGGAGCAAGAAGACCTTTGGAAATATTTTCCAAAAAATTGCTACATTGGAAGATGTGGCGAAGACAAAGGAAGTACAGTTAGAAATCTCGCCTATTGTAGAAAATAGAAGTTCACTCAGCAAGGCGGAGGCAGAATTGAAGAGATACCTTCATATTGAGGAGGAATACTGGAAGCAAAAAGCAGGTATGAAGTGGTTCATGGATGGAGATAAGAACACTAAATTTTTTCATGCTTATGTGAAGGGAAGAAGAAGAAAGCTTCAAGTCAAAGAAATTCAGACACCACAGGGAGATATAATTAGTAATCCGCAGATTATAGGAGAAGAAGCAGTCAATGTGTTTAAGGAACAATTTCGGGAGAACTCGGAGAATAATACAATGGATTTGATCCACTGTATTCCTAAATTAATCACGGAAGGGGAGAATGAGGGGATGGTGCAGATGCCATCCAAAGAAGAGGTACAAGTGGTTTTCTCATTGAATGGCGATAGTGCAAGTGGACAAGATGGTTTCTCAGGTCAATTTTTCCAATCATGTTGGGAAATAATTGGTAATGATATTACAAATATGGTAAAAGCTTTCTTTTGTGGACAAGAGTTACCCAAATATGTGACTCATACCAATATGGTGCTTATTCCAAAGAAGGAGGAGGTAAAGACCTTTGGAGACTTGAGGCCTATTAGTTTAAGTACGTTTACAAATAAGATTATATCGAGGCTGATGAATGAAAGAATTGTGAAGGTGCTACCCAAAATTATCTCTCTTAATCAGTCAGGCTTTGTGAAGGGAAGGAGTATTAATGAGAATGTATTGCTTGCACAAGAGATTATCAGAGATATTAACATGAGAAACAAATTGCACAATATAGTGGTGAAGCTTGATATGGCAAAGGCATATGATAGAGTTTCGTGGAAGTTTT